TTTGGCTCCGCCTCCGATTTTGCTTAGCTCCGCCTCACTTTTCCTCCGTGCGGCCAGTTTATCAGCTGTTTGCTTGTGTGAGCTGTACTGGCCGCACGGCACCCTAACTACCATGGGGCACTGTGCGGCCACAGCTCACACAGCCCCCTCCAGCCAGTGCTGGTGCAAGGATTTTTGCCGCCCTAGGTAAAAGTAAAGTTTGCTGCCCCCCCCATGTGACATCAAAATGCCCCACCCATATGATTTGCCATGTTATCTAACGCCAGTGATGCAGTGCCGCCGTGTTTACATTAAAAGGCCTGCAGGGAAAGGCTATAGACACCAGAACCACTACATTAAGCTGCAGTGGTTCTGGGGACTATAGTGTTTCTTTAATGTGAGGTAAATTAGAGATTAGTGCCACGAATAATATACTAGATTGCCTACTTACAACCAGATGAGGATGATGATGGGCTCTAGCTGCAGTCTGGCTCCACTGGTCTGGTGTAGAACAAGCTCTCTGGAGGCGGTTTGTAACTGTGGTCACAAAAATCAATGTTCTGGGAGAACGGGAAGCAGCTCCATTTTTGGGGGACCCTTTACACAGCTCAAGGTCTGGGTCCCAGGGTCCACCTTCATGTTCCACCAATGAGTTTGTTCACAGAGGGTGGAGTGTGTAGGGGATGTCCTGATATGTGTGTAAGGAATGCATTGTGTGAATCTGTGTTTGTATGTGTAAGGGCTGCAAGGTGTGTTTCTGTGTATGTACGAGATGCATTGAGTGTGTGTAAGGGGTGCCTTGAGTGTGTGTAATGAATGCATTGTGTGTAACGGTTGCTTTGCTTGTGTATGTGTGTCTGTGTGTGTAATGCAGTGTGTGTAATGCATTGTGTGTTTTTCTGTGTGATGAATGTCAATCTCTCCCCCCCTCCAATTTCCTTCTCTCTCCCCCTCCCAATTTCTTTCTTTATCCCCCTCTCCCAATCTTTCTTTATCCCCCCTCTCCAATTTCCTTCCCCCTCCCCATCTCTCCTTATCTCCCCCCATCTCTCCTTATCCCCCCCAATCTCTCCTTATCCCCCTCCCAATCTCTCCTTATCCCCCATCTCTCCTTATCCCCCTCCCAATCTCTCCTTATCCCCCCATCTCTCCTTATTCCCCTCCCAATCTCTCCTTATCCCCATCTCTCCTTATTCCACCCACATCTCTCCTTATTCCCCCTACCAATCTCTCCTTATTCCCATCTCTCCTTATTCCCCCCTCCCAATTTCTCCTTATTCCCCCCCCATCTCCTTATTCCCCATCTCTCCTTATCCCCATCTCTCCTTATCTCCCCCATCTCTCCTTATTCCCCATCTCCTCCTTATTCCCCATCTCTTCTTATTCTCCCATCTCTCCTTATTCCCCCCATCTCTTCTTATTCCCCAATCTCTCCTTATTCCCCAATCTCTCCTTACCCCCCATCTCTCCTTATCCCCCCAATCTCTCCTTATTCCCCCCATCCCCTCCCCATCTCTCCTTATTCTCCCCATCTCTCCTTATTCCCCATCTCTCCTTATTCTCCCCATCTCCTTATTCTCCCCATTTCTCCTTATTCTCCCCCCATGTCTCCTTATTCTCCCCCCATGTATTCTCCCCCATCTCTCCTTGTTCTCCCCCTCCCCCACCCCCTACCTCTGTTGTAGCGTGGCCGAGCCCTGTATCATGGTCCGCGGGTACAGGGAGCATTTGTTTCCTGTACCCGGGCTGGACTAACAGGAAGTGCACACAGATGCTCCCTGTACCCGCGGACCATGATACAGGGCTCGGCCACGCTACAGTGAGGGAGTGACAGGAGGGAGCGCTGTCCACCAATTGATAAAGCCGAATGTTATATCGGCGAAACGCTTCTTGGACACACCACTGACACTTGAGTATACAGATTTTACTTGTTTTTATAAAAAGTTGTAATAAATGTTTATTTCTGCTACCAAGTTGTCTAGTGATACATTTATGCTGCTATCAAGAAGGGAAGTGTCACTCTATAATTGACACTGTGTTTGTATACTTGGAGCCCAGTTAAAGGCTCCTGACAAGGTGAGAAGCAAATTGTTATTTTGTTCACCTGATTACCTGCTGTATTAAGGATATCTGCACTAGGGTTAGCTCTGCTTCCCTATTTTTCCTTTTTTTGTCTCCATTCTGAAGTCTCCTGTTGGATATGGCGATTTAAAGGACCCTATCACTAATATTTTTATTACCTCCTGAAAGTTGCAGGAGTAAGTGAGTGTTTTTATTTTTATTTTTAAGCGCTCCACCTTTGCACTGTTGTCTGCATGTATTTGCACTAACGTGTGTTTTTCTATACACTTGATTATAAGTAGGTTGAAGAGTTCCTACTTTTGGTGTGTAAGCTGCTATTTATTGTATTGTGTATTATATAATATTCACATTGTTTAAGCGCCTTTATCACAGCACATCTATTTTTTACTATATTGGTTTGTTTTCCTCTCCTCAGGCTGCACCCGGGCGGGCAAAGCTGCAGCCGCCAGAGGCTCTCTGCAGAGCGTTCGGGCGACTGCAGCATGAGGGGGTCCGGCGCTCCTGGCAGCACCCCCTCCCAAGGCACCCCCCACCCTGCTGGCACCCGGGGCGGACCGCCCCCTCTGCCCCCCCTTAGTACGCCACTGGTCATACCGTCATATGACTCTAAAAGTATGCTCCTTTGGCCCATTTGGGGGTTGTCCAAACCCTTCTTACGTTGGTTTCTCGGTGTTCCCCATTGTGATCCTTAAAACGTCGCCCAAGGAATGCCCGATATGCAGGAGATCCTTGAATAATGATATTCGTTTATTTGCAGAAAGAAAGATAATAATAAAAATAACAATTCACTATACCAATAAATATTAGGTATAGGTAAAGTCCAATGCAAGTTAAAATATGAGTGTCCAATATTTTAACTTGCATTGGACTTTACCAATACCTAATATTGAATTCTGGTCACTGATAGAGTTCATGTGTCAATTGGTCCAGATGTTATCTTTATTGTTTTATAATATGATCCCTTATAGCATTTGTGGATTTTATTTTGTAAATGATATGCGACACTTGCCAAGCTTCACAAATTTGCTGCACATTTGTAGCAAGTTTACACTGAAAGTCTGCATAACTGGCTTGCTTTATAAATCTGCTGCAGGCCTACTACAATTGCACATACAAATGTAAACATGTCCTGCATTTCCTGTAATGGGTTTGAAGCCCCATATCCCTTGCGGACGTCCAGCTACCTTAATTCATGTGAATAGAGAAACTTCCGGTATGACGTGAGCGCGCCAATTTTGAAACCAGGAAACAGTAAGTGACTGATACTTCACAGATGAAGCTAATAACTTTGAATACAATACTTTATATATTTGGACATTACCAGGACTTTGCCCACACACTTCTGAGGAAGCCTTTTTATGGACTTTTTACGCGTAATGGACTTTTTACGCGAAAAGTGGACTTTTTATGGACTTTTCTACAGAGTGATAGTTTTATATATATTCTGTTTTATTGTTTTTATGTACAATAAATAGTTACTATACTTAGATACCTTTTTATTTTATATTTAATTTCCTGGTTGTCATCATATCCTATGGTGGGGATTATACCACCTATGCTTTAAATCTAGAGCGAGGGACGCTCTATTACATGTGAGTACGCTACCTTGCACTTATTCATTTTCCTTTAAAATATTGTAATATACTACACTATAAGGATTTCTATGTTTCTACATGTGTTATCTGTTTGAGGACGCTAAAAGGCCGACTACTTCAAACCAATCCAGAGACGGGGATCATTCCGTCTAGGCGCAACAACAGTAGAGCTCTGTAAAAGCTCTGGTAAATGTGAGTTTGCATTTATCTTTTTGTTTTTTATATTTTTAAGTACTTACAATACTACACTATCATTTTAATTTTTTCTCTTTGAGGTTTATTGAAAACTACGACCATAAGGACTCCAGTACGTACATTTGTATTGTATAAAGGGCGCGGTTTCCATTTGTTTCTCTATTCACATTTGTTATACTACAAGGTTGGGAATCCTTGTGCCGGTCACTGCTGCCCACTCCTAATTCATCATTTTTATAGTGAGCGCCTAATCTCTGTGTTTTACCTACCTTAATTCATGGTCTTATAGTTTTGGCATTTAGGGCAGTGGTTTTCAAACCAGTCCTCACGCCCTCCTTACCAGTCCAGGAGTTGGGGAATAGCCAGTTGTGTGTAAAGTGTTTTTTTTTTCCCTTTAAGGCAAGATAAAATTGTGTGTGCCACACTAATAAAGTGCTGAATTATTCTACAAAAGTGCATATTGCAAAACAAACATTATAATACTTTAATAATATACTTAATTACACAAACAAAAAGTGATTGTGCTGAAAAATAATGTGATGTATAACACTGTGAGCTTATCACAATATATTGTGCAAAATATTGCAAATAGTGCTGAAGTGTAAAGTGAAATCACATATTATTTTAGTTTTGACTGGGTAACTAAAATAACAGATCAGGGTGGTGCAGTAGACATTGCTTACCTAGATTTCAGTAAGGCTTTTGACACTGTTCCACATAGAAGGCTCATCATTAAACTGCAATCTTTAAGTTTCGATTCCAATATTGTTGAATGGGTAAGGCAGTGGCTGAGTGACAGGCAACAGAGGAACACTAAAACAAAGGGGAGAAGAGTCTGCGCTAACTAATAGATAGAGAAGCAGCAACCTTAAAAAGGGAATCCCTCAAAAAAACCTTGAAAAACAAGAGAAAACAAAAAGAGTTAAGGACTGCGCTTAAAATCAAACAATTGATAAGAGTAAAATCAGCAAATTTCAATGGATAAAATCAAGATATAATATGAATAAAATAAACAAAGTTCATCCAAATATGGGAATGTATCTCACTGGTATATGGTGGTGTAGTGTTAGTCCTCAGATATTGGTCCGTCCGTGTGATAAATAGTCCATATATGTGGAGATAAAAAAACAGAAGAAAAAGCTGCCAGTGGTGAAATATTGCAAATCCAGATGTGGTATATGAATCAAGGAAAAGGTATTGCACTCACATTTGTTGGAGCTTGAACCAGCTCTAGGATAAAGGGCACTTAGTGGTTTAATCCCCACTACAGGATATACTTGGATGGTCGGTCCGTCCGTCCGGCTTGGATTCCTTCAGGTTGCTTAAATATAAGCCAGGACCAGTTCAGATGTATGAAGCTCTTTGCAGTTGAAAAGATAGGTCCGCCTCTCCGGCTTAGGGTCCGTTGTTATCCACAGAATATATAAAACAGCAGATAGTGCTCTCAGTTGGAACAATAAGATAATTAAATAAAATAAATTATACTTACAAAAATAAAGCAGAAAAATACTGCTCTATTGCCACAGCGCTGGTGGAATTATCCCCACCTAAGGATTTCTTTGGACAGGATACACTTGAGAATAATAATAAAAAAATAAAATAAAAAAAATGTAATAAAAGAAAAATAAAAATAAAAATAAAAAGTATATAAAAAGATGCCAGGAATAGTAGGAGTGTATAAAATACAATAAAAATAAGTATAAGATTGGTCCTATTTGAAAGGTAACCAAAAATAACTTTTATTGATTAAAATACACTTTTTAAAACCATTTATGCGTTTCACCTATGAGGTTTTTTCAAAATGGTAAAAGAACAGTATACCTGGCATGAAACAGAATTTATAAGATTATACAGAGGTTAAATTTGGCGCCAAAACCTAATGCACCAATCACAGACAAGAGTTAAAAAACAGTTGGTTTTAAATTTTTCAAAACGACTTGAAAACTATATAAATATAATGGTGCTTGCTTAATTAAGCATGAGGGATATATATTTAATAAAAACGAAGCTTGTGGAGAGATGTAATTATGATATGTCCCGATCACATGATCGTGACCCGGTGACGTGCGGCGCGCATGCGCGAGCGGACATGCGCGAGCGGACATGTAGGCGGATCGCTCGGGCGCGTAGCGCAGTAGCAGAGGGCTCAGTGACCGGCAAGGAGGAGCAGTGCTCCATGGGATATGTAGTCCTGCCGGTCACTGAACGCTCATGACTAAATTACATAGAGATATTGATTTATTCAATTATAAAAGGGGAAATAAAAGCCCCAAAAATCCAGCATGTAAAATCTTTAAGTGAGAAACAAGCATAAAATAACATTAAATGCTAAATATAGAAATAGGATTAAAAATATTTGCATATGATTTAAATGGTGTATATAATTAAAATACATGCATATTGATTGCCAAAATAATGGTAATATATATATACAGAGAAAATTAGGTAAAATGTTAAAATATTATTAAAATATGATGTATAAAAACAGACATTATCATAAAAAATTATGCAGGTTAAAGTCTGCATTAAGCCCATTTGGTGGTCTGTAACTTTAAGACCCATTCCATCTCAGTTTTACCTAAAATATTTTTTATGTCTCCTCCTCTCCAGGGTAGGGAACATTTTTTTATACCCATGTATTTTAGCATTTTTGGATCTTTATTATGAATTAAAAAATGTTTTGATAAAGAATGATTTAAATATCCATTTTTTATGTTCCTACAATGCTCACTTAATCTAATTTTAAGACATCTGTTAGTCATCCCAACGTATTGGAAGCCACACGGGCATTCCAATAAGTAGATGACATTTTTAGTGTTGCATGTTATAAATTCTTTTATTTTAAAAGTAGTTTTGGTCTTATTCGAAACGAATTCTGTCATTTTTGGTGGCATTGTAGGATCAGCAGTTTTACACACACTACAGCTTTTACATTTGTAAAAACCTATAGACTGAGGAAAAAATGATACAGGATTATTGGGTGTAATTTTTTTGGTAAAATTGGTAGTTAAAATTGATTTAAAATTGGGGGCCCCTCTAAAAATTATACTCAACTTTTCTGGAATAATTTTACTAAGATTTTCATCATGTTCTAAAATATGCCAGTGCTTTTTAATAATCTTTTTTATTTCTTTACGTTTGTTATTATAGTTAAAAGTAATGGGAAGAAGTGTAGAGTCATTTTTGCTTTTAGGTTTATATATTAGAAGATCATCTCTTTTTTTTATTTTTTATCTCGTTTATGTTTTCCAATAAGTCTATTTCTGGGTAGTTTTTTTCCATGAATTTATTCTTAAGAGCATCAGCTTGTTCTTCGAAGTTTTCTAGTTCTGTACAATTTCTGCGTAGTCTAAGAAATTGACTTCTTGGAGCGCTGTCAAGCCACGGTTAATAGTGGCAACTGTTCTTATCAATTACTGTATTGACACAGACTTTTTTGAAAAATGTTTTTGTATTAATTTTTCCATTCTTAATAAATATATTGAGATCTAGAAAATGTATTTGTTCTCTACTAAATTAATGGGTTAAAATTATACCTATATTATTAGTATTAAGAACATTGATAAAAGAAATAAGGCTGTCTTCAGATCCACTCCAAATAAAACAAAAAAGATCATCAATATATCTAAAATATGAGACCAGGTTTGCCCTTAGATTGTCTCCATTGTAGATAGCTGTAGATTCCCAATCTGCCATGAACAGATTGGCATAGCTAGGGGCAAACCTGGTACCCATAGCATTTCCTCTTTTTTGGAGATAAAAGGAGTCTAAGAACCAAAAATAATTGTTTTTTAAAATAATATTAATAACCTCTAAAATAAAATCAATCTGTGTTTCGGAAATTCTATCTTCTTTAGTTAAAATATTTTTAATGGCTTCAAATCCAATTTTGTGAGGTATAATTGTATAGAGTGATTGGAGGTCACAAGTAACTAAAATAAAACTGGGGTCCCATTTAAAATCTTTTAAAAAATTTAAAAGAAACATGGAGTCCTGGAGGTATGACTTCATTTTTTTAATGGCAGGTTGTAAGAGAGTGTCTATGTATTGAGATAGATTGCAAAGAAGCGAACCTATACCTGACACTATTGGTCTGTCAGGGGGATTTGTGGCATTCTTGTGTATTTTAGGTAGGAAATATATTACCGGAATTTTTGGAAATTTTTTGTTTAAAAAGTTAAACTCATGTTTTGTTAAAATGGCTTGAGATACACCTTTGTTTAAAAAGAGGTTCTGAATGGTCTTTGTTGGATCTGATGAAAGTTTTTCATAGACATCAGTATAATTTAACTGTCTGTGCGCTTCTCCTATATACATGGCACTAGACAAAATGACTAGACCTCCTCCTTTGTCCGCAGGTTTTATAACAATGTCTTTGTCATCTTGTAGCTCTTTGAGTGCTTTCCTTTCATTGTTTGTTAAATTTTGTGTATCGTATTTATTAGTCTGTAATTTATTTAAATCATTTGTGACTAGTTTCTCAAATACTGTTAAAGGAGCAGTTTTCATAAAAGCTGGATAAAATTTGGATTTTTCTTTAAAATGTGTGTTAATAATATGATTTTTTTGGGAGGGAGAGAAGAGGGTGAGATTGTACTATTGGCGGTTGAGTCGTTTTGGGTAAAATTTTCATCCGTTTTTTCATTAAAATATCATTTTAAGGTTGCTTTGCGAACAATGTAATTACCCAAGCTGTCATACTGTCTCAAGGGAGACATAGACCTAGAAAAATCACTTCATCAAAAAAACATTTTATATTGTGATATAGCAATCCATTTACATTTAGGCTGTAGGTGTTGTAAATGTTCATATGTCATGTAACAGAAAATATGGCAGAGCTATTTATTTAAAAAAATAAAAAGAATTAAAAGAAATAAAAAAAATGTTGCTAGATATATTTAAGTTTGTAAAATGGATTGGTTCAATTTAAATACTGTGGATAAATCTATTTATAAAGCCTCATCTTGCCTCCTCCACCCCTTTCCCTTTTATTATCTTTCCTATATCTTGGAATCATCCATTCTTTTTGAATGCTACTTTACTACTGTACATTAAACTTTCTAACAGCACCTTGTCCAGAACAATTGTAAGTATGTGTAGCATGCCGTTAAAGAGCTATGAATGACCTATTGATTACTGAACGCAATACTCATAACATGAAGCCCATGGAGAAAGCACAGCTTAGGGAATAAAGCTCTGACAGGGCTAGGAGGCGGGCTAGGGGGTGGGGTCAATAGGGGATTGGTAGAGCAGTGCTTGGGGGTTGGCTGATATAAATGGTCATTACCTAGCAGAGTAGGTCCCTCCCTCCCTTTGTAGCCTTTTTTTTTTCCACGCTTGGTCACAGCGGCAGGGTGGGGTAAGGAACATTAAGGATAATGGGCCTTAGTTAAGAGAGGAGTAAGGGGAGTTAGTTAATTGGTTAGTTGATTGCTTAAAAGGGTACACTGTTTGTATATGTTTTGGTAGGTTTCGAGTCCGTTGGTGGCTCAGAACCTCGTGGTGTTCCGAGTCCATTGGTGGCTCAGAACCTTGGTGGTGTAGAGGTATCTGGGTATACCCCTACCAGGTGAAATGGATCAATGTTATGTTACATGTTATATTATATGATGGTTGTACATTGGAAATGTATTATGTGGTGGGTCATTACCTTGATGTAAATATAAGAAAGATGATACGAGATTGGGGTGTGGCAGGTAATGACTAAATATATATATATATATATATATATATATTTATTGTTATCTTTATTATCATTAAAGCTATGGGCAATTTGACCCATAACCCTAAATGTCAGTGTCTTATTGGGTGGGTTGGGTTCAAGTCATATATCCCTCCCCCTGCCCATATGGCGACTATGCACCTGTCGTGTATATATAACACACACAGAGTTAAATGAAAGCATTTAAGACAACATATAGTTATGCAGCAAAAGACAATACATCTACATTTATTTATATATCTATATCCAGCAAGGTATTCAGCAATGTCCAGTTTACCATGGATAAAAAAACTTGACATATGGGAAATTACATAAAAGTAGCACGCATTGATACATGTTTTTTATTCTAAAAAAGATAGAGGACTCTGCTCTTG